TCTGACAAACCAACAAAGTTGTTGCAACGGTAACTCTGTAGAAAATATGGGGAACGTTAAGGTAAGAATACAATAACACAGTATCTAAATATGGAAATAAGAAGTGGTATGATTGTAAATGAGACAACTGAGCTCTCCACCAGATACCAAATGCCGTAGAAGTTGTCAACTAGTTGTTTAGCCAACTATTATAAATTTTTGATTGAAAAGGAAGATGGGGACAGCATCATGTATTAACTCATCCTTAGATTGAAAAGAAAGATGGGGACAGCTGCATATATTAACTCATCGGCTTGTTCCGTCGCCTTTAATTATAGCTTTGCATCTGAAAATCCAAGCGGGGTTGCCGACTCAAAATAGGAGAAAAACGAAAACCCAGCCGAACAACGAATTTTATTTTCGATTTACAAAATAAATTACAAAACATTTGTAAATAAATATTAATTATTTCTTTATATGTTTGTCAGGTTTATGTACACTGACCAGATAGAAGTAAATACATCAAATGTGAAAGGTTTATTGTATGGAGCTGAAAAATATATGTTACAAAGTGTCAAAAGTGAATGTAGTCAATTTTTATCAACACTCATAGATGAAGATCACGCTTGTGTTGTATTACAAACGGCCAATGACTTTCACCTTGAAGAATTGAAACACAAAGCCTTGCAATACATTCATCGTCATGGAAAACAATGTTTGGTATCTGAAAGTTTGTCATCTCTTTCTACCGAATGTCTTAAACTCGTTATTGAATCGGATAGTTTAAAATGCAAGGAAGACTTCATATTCGAACAAGTTGTAAAATGGGGTGAAAATAAGTGTGGAGACAAAGATATGCCGTTGACGGACGGACATATACGAGAATCATTAGGAGATATTCTGTATGATATACGCTTTCCGTTAATGGATCGCAAGTACTTCACACATCATGTATCAACTCGTCGTATATTGTCGTCAGATGAAATAATACGAGTATTTCAATCTTTTGATGGTATAACTATTGAAAATTTCCGATCAAAATTACGTCTCCCAAATCCGGTGAAATTTTATAGATGCATTGTAAATGAAGGTCAGCAGAGTTGGACCCTAGATGGTTCAGTTGATTCAATAGAGTTTTCTACGGATTTTGACGGGTTACTTTTAGGAATTATTGTGTTTGGGTCAAAAGATTATAAGGGTGATCATGATATAACAGTTAAAATCATTCAGTTCTTTACAGTTTTGACAACAACAACCACATCTTTAACGTCAAAAGAAGGTCAAGAAATTTATGAAATTATGTTTCTGGACCCAGTCAAACTTACTAAAAACGTACGATATACGATACAATTGTCTATGAAAGGACCTAAAACATTCACAGGGAAAAATTACGCAACACGGATAATGGAAGATGATTTGTCAGTAACGTTTTCGTTTGGTGTATCCTCTTTGAATGGTACCAATGAAACAAGCGGACAAATACCTGGGATCATCGTCGGAAGGCAACTTGAATAAACTGCATGGCAGGCGTATGACAACAAAGGATGAACATTAACACAGTATAAAAAAAATTATATTGACTGCATGTTTGTTGCTATTTTGCAATTTGTTTTTATTTTGAACGAAAGTAGACAAACGGTTGATAAAAATTTTATAACAGTATTCGAATATAATGCACACAGTTGAAAAGAATTAAAGTAAGATTACTGTTGATACTTTATTCTCACTGGCTTTTTTTTAAAACAAGAAAATGCAAAGAACAGTCAAAATGCATAGGTCGAAAAAAAGACAGACCCCACAATGGCCAAAAGAAATTAGTCGAAAAGACAAACAAGCCACAAACTGAAACTACACGGAAAATTAGATTGGGCAATACTAAGAATCTCACACAAAAGCGCGGTACATGCTTGAAATTCTTTGGAAATAAATATTTTGAATTTCTCCGGTACAAAACCTATCTACAAGAGTATGATGCTAAACAATTATCAAACAGCGTGTCAACTACAGTCTATTCTCTCAATTGGCTAGACGTGCCTTTATGTTCCTTTATAGTCAGGTTCCATGAAAAGGGGGAGACAATATTTTTTACAAGTAATCCTATAATTATGGATTCAACTGAATAGAACTCAATCACCTTCAACCGGACATATTGTTTTATCTACGACAAATAACAATATACCGTACCATTCTTTGATTAAACCTTCCGTCAAGATGAAATACTAAAAAAAAATCTCAATTCAAATAGTGTTGACCTGACATGCATTATTACCGAGAAACAAGTATAATCTTACCACAGGAGCGTAACAATGAGGCCTAAGGCATTTACTTCTAACAACGGTTTTAAAGGGGCATTACCTACGAGAAAAAAAATATGATTTTTTTTTTGTTCAATCATTAATAAAAGTGAAATAGTGAAATAATAATTCGCTTTTAGCAGCCAGTTTAGTTCAAATTTGTCAAAATAAGCTAAGAAACATAGCTGATGAATTATTCACTTGCAAGTGAATAATTCGACCTCATTGAATCCGTATTCATGTGACCTTCAATTTAACCTATTAGCTAGAGATTGGTTATGCATGTATAAGTTGTGTTCAGCCAATAAAAGGATAAAACTGTCAACATTGAAAGTGAAACAAAGGTGAACCATTTCGTTGACTGATTCGATTTACACAAAAAATCATTCTTATACAGGTAAAATCGATGATTCACTTATTTTTTTAACCTGTAACATGAGATCAAACAGACCAAGAAAAGTATAATTGCACGAGGTCGCTATCTATTTATATTCATGTTTATGTTTATATCGGGTTATGTGACCGTCGGCAGTCTTCGGAGGTCATCTCGATAGTTAATTAGATGCCGTCTAGACTAAAATACACACGAACTGCTGGTATATATTATCGAGTCCAGCATTGTTAATTGTTTATTTCAGATTTATACGTTTTAGTATGTTATAAATCAAATATGAGAATTTGAGTAAAATCGTTGAACATGAATTTGACAGCTAATGCCCCTTTAATAACAACCTAAATATCGTTTTACGGTCATGTACTAGTAAAGTAACATCACTGAAGCGTGACTGGTCGATTACAATGATTGCAGCATACCTAATGTCCAGCCGGGCAAATATTTTATGCATATTCAGGACAAGAACAAATAAACAATAAATCAACTAAGTATGATATGTTAAGTGGATCGAACGGAAAGAAGGAAGATCAATTTGTACTGTCCTTGGTATGATGACAATTAGGGTCTAAAGTTTATTTATCCGGCATAGCCAAAACAGACAGCCCTTCTTTAGGATGAATTATACTGTAGGATTGGAAAAGTTAAGGTAAACATATTTCTTTACCCCCATTACCCCATGGCATATGACATACTAGACAAACATATACTAATCACATAGAATATCATTGACCTATCATGTATAGTTTATTTAGAATATGGCAAAATGCTCTCGACCAATGAAATTGTAGGATTTGGTGTTTCTTAATTGTGAAGAATGAATGAAATCTTGTTTTTAGTAAGGGATTATCCTATTGTTTAGGCCTACTTACAATTCAAAACAAAGAGTTTCTATAAATGAGTTACAAATGCCCCGAAGTACATTTATCAGCTTGAAAGAATTTGTGATTAAAACTGGCTAAAAGTTGACTTTTGAAACAAACAAAAAAATCAAAATAAGATGAAGTTTACTGGTGCAGTAACATAGGTACCGTTAACGTTATTATGAGAATATTAATAACTTCAAATTACTAACAAAAAGTAAACAATGTTAAAGCAATGCAAAAAAAAAAGAAAAAAAAGTTTTAAAATTAAGTAAAACCTAAATCTTTAGCTTATACTCTTTAAAAAAATTAAAGCAGATTACTGGATCCGCAGTTGGTGAGAATAGTAATTTCCAATATTCTGATAAAATTCTAAAAAAAGGAATTTAGTTTAACTTTTAAAGGCATTGTATTTGAACATTTCCCTGACATAATGAAGTAGTATTTGATGTAAAGGACTGGGCTAAAATATTGGCTGTAAAATAAAATTAAGTTGTAACTCAAATTTTGAATTTATTGATATGAAATTGAAATAAACAAAAAGATGATTCCTTGCTAAAATATTACATGATTTACATTCATACTCATTTCTTCCCATTTTATTGTACTGTTGTGTCATCTAAAGTCTAAAACACAATCTATTATGTTTTCCAAAATTATAAAAAAAAGTCCTTACATCACTAAAACTAATCCATAAATGAAATGTCTAAAAAGGAAGTCATGCATTATTTACAAATATTGCACTGAAAATATAACTAATACTTAAATACAACCAATCAAGAGATCATTTGAGCCTTGACTTGATCTTTACAATATTCTAAGTTTGTAAGAAGAAAAACCCTAATCCTGAAAACTTAAGTGGACTACTGGAGCGTGAAAATTAGGTCAAGACCACATGCATGAAAAATATGTCGAAAGGAAATGAACATGTTAAGTTACTGTGGAATGTACCTAATCCTAAAATTGAACAGACAACAAGAACATGAAAATGAGGTCAAAATACGGTGACAATGACTGGTGGAAAAGGTTTTATCACCAACAAACCAAATACAAATTTTTCTTACGTAAGTGAAAATTGAAATTGCTGAATTAGCATTGCTGTTCCCAAAGTACAACCGAAGTTTCGCCTTCCACGATTTACGTTTCAGATAACACAAAAATTAAGCAATGACCTTGTGTACAAATGTATGTTTGTATCCGCTTGAACTCAGCTTGTGTGCTGTGATTTTATAGCGATCTCGTTTTGTATTTCCTTTACAATTTCTTGACAAAAGCATAATTAATACTTATGTTCATCAAAGAAATGATAAGAAACAATTAACAATCTTCTTAAATTTTAAAATTAATCATTATCTGATTACTTAGTTTATATTTCAAAACTAAACTTATTGTTTTAACTATAACATAAATTAATCTCCCATTTTTATATTTTTTCAGTTTGTATTACGCAATATATTAAAAATCCATTTGGAAAACAATATAAATATTTTATTAGATAAAGCACATTTACATATGATATATATGATGCGTATTCCAAGTATAAAACATATAAAAACATGACAAATAATGTAAATACAGCATAAGATATTTACAAGTTATAATAACCATCTACATGTATATATCACAATACTTTCACAATACTTTATTAATAAAATTAATTTCCGAACTAGACAAAGTGATGCCCCCACACTTCACTCTAAAGTAACTGTATTATAACAAAGTCAGTGTAGGACTTTCTTTTGAGATATTATTTTGTCTGGGAGACACAAATGATGCCCCCCGAGATGCAAAGTGTTATTTCAAAATACACAAAGTTGACCATGGGACCACATAGGTCTATTTCACTGTAGGAGGAGTTATCCGGAAACGCTATGCACCTTGTATGTAAGTATATAATCCAAAAATGACTAAGTTCAACTATCTCCCAAAAGAGCAAATATTAATAAAAATCAAAACCCTCATGGCTCATGCAAACCTTCAATATATGTACAAACAGCCAGCAAAGTGAGAACTTCCTAGCATTCAAACTGTAGGAGGAGTTATCTGGAATAGCTATATACCCATAACTGGATGGACGGAAGGACAGACAGAAGAACGGACGGACAGGGGTAAAACAATATGCCCCCCAATGGGTATCCTATGGACCTCATGGCAGTATGCACGTCGCGTCCTGCATTGATTAAATCTATCAATAAAAAAGAACAACTTCATGACTAAATTTAATGAATCCATAACACTATCTGAGTGTAATTTTCATATACATGAAAGATTATACTTCTAAAAAAATTCTTAAATCAAATAAGACAAAATTGTTATAAGAAAAATCAAATCTTGTAAACTTGCATTACATTTAAAAGATGTCTACTGGTCGAGGACCACTTATCGTCAGTTTACAGTTTAACTGTCACATACAGTTTTATTGAATAACAGAAACGTTGCATAAAAACAAAAGACTGCTGATATCTTCAGACAAATATTTTTACTTCATTAGTAAAAACTTAGTTTTGTGCGATTCAATTAAAATAGAGAAATACAGAATAATCTACAAATTAAAAGCGTCAAGGGAAGATACACGTGTGGGTACATGACATCATCGCTTTATGAGATCATCGATTTTGAAAAACTTACTGTTTTAAGACAAAGCAATATTTAACCTTGCTTTAGAATATTAAATTTCTTTCAAAAGAATTGAAAAAGATTTATACATTTTCAAATTTTAAAGTTTATGCATCTCTTCAGTACAGTGTAAGTGGTTGATTTCAAGTGACATTAAAGTTAACATTCAGACAAATTAACATTATTGTCCCGATTAAATGTAAATTCTATCATTTAATGACAAGATTCAAAAGTGAAGGTAACTGGTCATCGTACCTATAAAATTTCATTAAAAAATCAGCATACTAGTAACCTGTTTTTCATTGTAAATAAGGGGAATTAAAATCAGTCTATGGTGATAAACCTAGCTTTTGGTAGGTAACCCTTTTTATGTTAAAAGAATATCTACCTAAAGAGTTCTTGTTAAAAATTATTTGAGAAAAATTACAAATTTCTGACAGTTACTGGTATTCTACTTGTATAGTCTTTTATGGTAACCATGAAATATTCTTATTTTTCAATAAATATATATATATTATGATATGTAATTGCTGAGAAATCATTTTTTAAATACAAATATTGAAATTAAGTGTAATTTTTTCCTATATATTCATACATTTTTTCTTCAAGCAGAAACTCAGATCAGTCCTTTAACAGTAATTTCCTTAAAAATCATAATTCAAACAAACATTTCAAAGCTATTGTATGAAACTGCAGACATTTCTGTATTCAACAAAACATTTCATTCAAATAAGACAAGAAATATAATTGTGTGTTAAATCTTATAACACACTGTAAAGAAAAGCACAATTTTATAACAAATCCGAAATAAATCTACCAGTTGAATCTATGATTAACTAAACTTTGACAAACTTCATGACTAGATCTAATAAAAATCATAAACTATATGAGTACAATGTTTTCAAGCAATATATAATACTTGTACATATTACATTTTATTAAAAAAAACACCTTTAAATCAATTTAAAGGCAAAATTGTAAAACAAATATTTAATTCTTGTAATTCAACAGAAAATGTGATTTTACCAAATTCATGCTTAAAAAAAACTACTCAAAGATAAACAACAGTGCATACACTAAAATGTCTTGCCTGCAGAACAGTGAAAATGTGGTCAATGTCAAATAAAACCTGCAAGACTGAGATCTACATCATAAAATATTTCCATACACCAAATATAGTTGACCTATTGCAATTTTTCCATTTGTAAAGGGGCATAACGCTAGAAAGGTAAAAGTGACGCCAGCCAAATTCAAACTTGATCTGTGTTTTGTGGTAATTAGCATTTTGTATAAGTTTCCTAACATTTGGTTGAGGCAAACTAAAGAGAACAAAAACCAATTTTGGGACGTACAGACGTACAGACCAACAAGGGTAAAACTTGATGCCTCCTACACTACGGCGGGGCATAAAAATGATAACTTTTTTTTTCAAGTAGTCACTGAACCATGAAAATGAGGTCAAGCACAATGGACATATGACAGACAGAACCTTCATAACATCAGGCATCTATATACAAAGTATGAACCATCCAGGTCTTCTACCTTCTGAAATATGAAGCTTTAAAGCCGTTTGATCACTATCCCTATGTCTCGCTTTCTGCAACAGAAGTCAAAGGCTCACAAAAATGTGTATTATCTGACATAACTTTGCTTCAAAAAGGTCTGAAAGGACATCAATGTAGTAGTATCAAATCCTTTTTAAAACATTCACTGAAATTTTAAGCACCCTGTTAATTGTTATACTTGATAGTCACCTGACAATGGGAACTTGCTTCAACATTTTATCTAAGAAATATATCTACTACAGTTATTGAATTGTTGAAAAATAAAACAAATATGCAATTTTGCTGGGGAGGTAACTTTTGCTGAAATAATTAAACAATGTATTTCCAATTCAGGTAAAGTATCTATCCTCATTTTCCCTTTTCATGTAAACAATTGTTCTAAATCACTCAATAAGTTTTCATAATTTGTTTTATTCACAAAATAATAAACCTATATTTTTTAACCTATATATCGTAGGTGGGGCATAAAAATTTATTGTGTTTTAATATGTGTCTATCAAACTTTGCCTAAACAATGTAAATTCAGCCCTACAAAGTAGTAGTAAATCATGAAGGTGACCTGGATGTACAACTTTACCCAACTCGAAACTCAACAAATACTTGCAATGGAATATACTGTGGATTCATTTATTATTTCCATGATATCAATTTTTGTTGGTTTTGTGGGTATTGGTGAACCATGTTCAACATAGACTAATAGTGTAAAATTTCTCTAGGGTTTTATGCAAAAATTGGCATTACCATGAAATTAAATAACTACAAAAACATGAAAAGACATGAATCAACAGTTTTTTAGGGATTTTATACTTTTTAGAAAAGGAGTGTTTTTTTTAATATAAATATCTCTGACCTTCAAATTGAAAGGTTATTTCAAAGATGCAGACATTGAAACAGACAAACATAAAGCCAATGGATGCTGAGTTAACCAAATCATTGACTTACTATTGAATGTAAAATTACACCGTAAACATGATAAACTGTTAACACAGAGATATGTCTCGCCTTTTTGTCATTTTGATAGTAAAATGCAAATGTTGAAATTAAAATAAGTTATGCAAAATATTCAAAGTCAATGAACCATGATTGAAAATAAAAAGTGTCAATGCTAATACCAAATATCACTGACCTACCACCAGAGGATCCAATAAACTGTCCTAATCACAAACTAATACATGTAAACTAAGCAAAAGTTTCAAAGTCAACAGACAATGACTAAGGAGGCAGGGACAAATAATCTCCATGGAAATGAGATGTGCCAATGCTTATAAAACTGCATACCAAATATCATTGACCTACCATTAGTGCTTCCCCATAAACTGATCTAATCACAAACTAATACATGTAAACTAAGCAAAAATTTCAAAGTCAATAGACCATGACTGAGGGGGCGGGGCCAAATAATCTCATACGAAATGAAATGTGCCAATGTTAATACAACTGCATACCAAATATCATTGACCCAACACTAGTGGTTCCCCAGAAACTGACCTAATCACAAACTAATACATTGTTGACAATGCTGCCGCTGCCGCCAGAAACAGCATACCTATATGTCTTGCTTTTTGACGCCGCCAAGGAGAGACAAAAACACACCTTTACTAGAACAGATCTGATATATATATCTACCTGTTGAATCTGTGAATAAATGAACATTAAATAAAATGCTCCGCTGGGGCGCAGCTTGATACGACAGCAGAGGTCGAACCCTGAACAGTTGGGGCAAGTATGGACACAACATTCAAGCTTGATACAGCACTGAATTTGGATTGTAATTAAATATTTGACACAGCATAGGTTTCTGACACAGAATGAATGTGGTCTAAGAACTTAAAAATTTTTGATTTACCTATTCAAACCATATCATTATTATTTGCTTTTATATATAAATCAGAAATAACCAATTTAAAATGGAAAATTTTAAAGAAAAAAAATGAAAAAAAAATCCCCCCCCCCAATTTTTTGAACCCCCTTATGATTCATCACCCCCAAACTCAATCCCAGCCTTCCCTTTGTGGTATGGTACCTTGCAGTACAATTTCAGAGAGATCCATACACTTGAACACAAGTTATTGTCTGGAAACTAGAAAAATGCTTGTTTTTTGGCCCCTTTTTGGCCCCAAATTCCTAAACGTTTAGGACAATTACCCCCAAACTCAAACCCAGCTTTCCCTTTGTGATATGGAACCTTGCAGTACAATTTCATAAAGATCCATACACTTACACACAAGTTATTGTCCTGAAACTAGAAAAATGCTTGTTTTTTTTGCCCCTTTATGGCCCCTAATTCCTCAAATTTTGAGGGAATTACCCCCAAAATCAATCCCAGCCTTCCCTTTGTGGTATGGTACCTTGCAGTACAATTTCAGAGAGATTCATACACTTGAACACAAGTTATTGTCTGGAAACTGGAAAAATGCTTATTTTTGGCCCCTTATTCCTAACTGTTTTGGGCAATTACCCCCAAACTCAAACCCAGCTTTCCCTTTGTGATATGAAACCTTGTAGTACAATTTCATAAAGATCCATACACTAACACACAAGTTAGTGTCATGAAACTAGAAAAATGCTTGTTTTTTTGCCCCTTTTTGGCCCCTAATTCCTAAAATTTGGAGGCAATTACCCCCAAAAATCAATCCCAGCATTCCCTTTGTGATATGGAACCTTGTGGTACAATGTCAGAGAGATCCATACACTAACACACAAGTTATGTCTGGAAGTTACAAAAGTGCTTATTTTTGGCCCCTAATTCCTTAACTGTTGGTACCATAGCCCCCAAAATCAATCCCCACCTTCCTTTTGTGGTATTGAACCTTATGGTAAAATTTCATAGAGATCCATTCACTTAAACTAAAGTTAAAGTGCGAAAACCAATGTGTCTTCGGACGACGACGACGCCAACGTCATACCAATATACGACCGCAAATTTTTGCGGTCGTATAAAAACACTCATGACTAGATTTAATTCCATAACATCACTAAGTGCAATGCTATCCAGCAGTATAAACATGTAATATTATCTGTCATTTTCAAATCAATCAACAGGCAAAATTGTAAAAAAAATCTTTTCATTAAACAGAAAATTTGATTCTACATACATGACATACATCATGCTAAAAACCAACAATACTATTCAAATATAAAATAAGATTTCATTCAACTAACATATGTCTGAAAGTTAAAGGGCAGCCATACAATCATCAAGTTTTAGATCCATGTATTTACATCCATTAAAATTGTAAGCACCATGTAGATGTAATACGTTGGTATACTGACAATGGGAACTTGATTCAACATTTTAGGAATATTGTATAATTAGCTGTAAGAAGATGTGGTATGAGTGCCAATGAGACAACTCTCCATCCAAGTCACATTTTGTAAAAGTAAACCATTATAGGTCCAAGTACAGCCTTCAACAAGGAGCCTTGGCTCACACCGAACAGCAAGCTATAAAGGGCCCCAAAAATGACTAGTGTACAACCATTCAAACAGGAAAACCAACGGTCTAATCTATATAAAAAACGAGAAACGAGAAACACTTATGAACCACATCTACAAACGACAACCACCGAACATCAGGTTCCTGACTTAGGACAGGTGCAAACAAATGCTGCGGGTTTGTTAAATTATTCATAAATCAAACAATATGTTACAATGTCATTTTTACTGAGGTGATAACTTTTGGAGAAAAAAAAAAGTTCAATCCAGGGGGAGATAATTAGACTATTTATCACTGCAAATCAACTTATTTATACCCTATTCAGTTGCAAGAGGAAAAGAATGAGATTCCTCAATTGTATTCCTTTAAAGTATGTACTCCATTAAAAATAAATTGTCAATTGATAAAACAATTTCCCTAATTTAATTTTTCTTACGGATTATTTCTTAAAAATAAGTGTGGTAACCTATAAATTTTCAACTGATTACAAAAATATCTATACATTTTCTTCAGTTTCAGGAAAATAAAAAAAAAGAAACTTAACTGTGCTATTGCTATTACTTAATAATAATACCCCACTTTAAGGATTGGGTATACAGGAATTTGTAGAGCAATTGATGTGAAAATGCATCATATTGTATAGCACACTCAAATAAGTGTTCATACCAAATTTCAAAGTGCTTTGATTGGTACTTATTCTGAGAGAAATACAAGGTCATTATGATTAAAAATAAACATAAGTATATAGGGTAAACATCAAATTTAGAGCAATGAATGTGAAAATGTATCACACATTTAAGCTTGTTTACATCAGAGGCGGAGTTAGGGGAGGGGGGCCCCTTTTTTGGGAAAAATTTGGTTGATTATATAGGGAATCACTGAAGCATGACTGTAGCGGGCCCCCTCTTAGGCAGTCAGTGGGCCCCAACTAATGAAAATTTCTAGATCAGCCACTGTACATAAAGCCTAAATTTTCTGTATCGGTACATTATGCAAAGATCATTCCCATTAATTTTTGCGGGGTGTTTGTTGGTGTTATAGAAAATTAAGAGACTTGAGCATGCTAGTTTAAGATCTATCACTGTTGATGAGTATAGTTTCACATTCTTACATAGCTCTTTTCATAATAAATTGTTTAATGGACCTCAGGATATTTAATCATTATTACCCATAGAGCAATATGAAGAAAAAACATAGTCCAAGCTGATGGCTACATATATCAATTACACATGCTGCAGTCATGACAGCTAACAAATATGTGGCTAGGATCTTGCAGTCAATCCTTTAACAAAACCATTGACCTATGACCCTGTTATTTGCTATTGCTGCCAAACTAGACTAAAGTGATCAATCTGCTCAATATAAGGTTTTCATAACTCAATCTACTTCTAAGTGAGAAACTAAGAAGTTAAATTGTTGAGTCACATCAAGCAGACAAAAAGAGTTATACTGGTAATTCTACACACCAAATTAAAGACTGGTAATTCTACACATCACATTAAAGACTGGTAATTCTACACATCACATTAAAGACTGGTAATTCTATACATCACATTAAAGACTGGTAATTCTATACATCAAATTAAAGACTGGTAATTCAACACATCAAATTAAAGACTCGTAATTCTATACATCAATTAAAGACTGGTAATTCTACACATCAAATTAAAGACTGGTAATTCTACATATCACATTAAAGACTGGTAATTCTACACACCAAATTAAAGACTAATAATTCAACACACCACATTAAAGACTGGTAATTCAACACATCAAATTAAAAGACTGGTAATTCAACACACCACATTAAAGACTGGTAATTCTATACATCAAATTAAAGACTGGTAATTCAACACATCAAATTAAAGACTGGTAATTCTATACATCAAATTAAAGACTGGTAATTCTATACATCAAATTAAAGACTGGTAATTCAACACATCAAACTAAAGACTGGTAATTCAACACACCACATTAAAGACTGGTAATTCAACACATCAAATTAAAAGACTGGTAATTCAACACACCACATTAAAGACTGGTAATTCACACACCAAATTAAAGACTGGTAATTCTACACACCAAATTAAAGACTGGTAATTCTACACATCATATTAAAGACTGGTAATTCTACACACCAAATTAAAGTTAACACTAACATGGAGGTTAAAGATATTTAAAAAATATAACAAGACTATGAATGGATTGATGATAAATGTCAAATAATATGAGTAATATATCACCTATTCTTCTGAAATCAGGCTGAATACAGTACTGTTAACCTGGAAATATTTGTGGACGTTTTCTGCATTGTGCCATAAAGACCATCTATGAAAGCTCAACTATCATGTAATTATGCCATAAAGACCATCTAGGAAAGCTCAACCATCATGTAATTAACACATGTACGTGAATTGAAAAAAAAACAAACAACATGTAAGCAAAAATGGTAAAATGTTAGATTCAAACATTGTGGACACAGATCAAATTCTAGTTCTGGTAAAATAAGATGCATGACATTTTCAATGATTTACAGTAAATATATGCATGTGAATATCAGAACAATCATTGCTTTCCTCATACATTTATTACATGTGTAGTTTTTTGTATGAACTTCAGTTTTTATGTGTTTTATTATGTGTTGTTAATGAGGATCTTTGTGAAAAAGATTTAAAACATATTTCACAAGAATATGGCTTTTCTTTGGTATGAGTTCTAAAGTGAAGATCCAAATAACTTTTGATGGCAAATGTTTTACCACACACATCACAGACGTAAGATTTGTCTGTTGAATGCTTTAACTTTTTGTGTGTATTAAGTGAAGAAGACTGGGAGAAACACTTCTCACAGATTCCACAAATGTAAGGTTTTTCTCCAGTGTGCTTCCTCATATGAATTCTCAAATTACAAGACTTCTTGAATATTTTTCCACAAATAATGCAGCTACAATTTTCAAATGCAGAACCCAATCTAGATACATCTGTTTCTTTATGACTTTTAGTTTTGTTATCGTTGTTTTTTAGGTCTAGATACTTCTCAGAAAATACATCTGTTTCATTTTGACTTTTAGATTTGTTATTGTTGTTTTTTAAGTCTAGATATAACTCCTCAGAAGATACATCTGTTTCATTTTGACTTTTATATTTGTTATAGTTGTTTTTCGAGTCTAGATACTCCTCAGAAGATATATCTGTTCTGTTTTTATTCATTAATTCAGTACTTTTACTACTTTTTCTAAATTCTAAATAATCCTTATTAAGTACTTCTGTACTGTTTTTATTTTCTGACTCATTATTTTCATTTCTAAAGTCAAGGTTCTCCTCAGAAGAAGCCTTTGTAATGATTTGATTTTTTAATTCAGTATTGTTATTTCCCAGGTCTAAATAATCCTCAGAATGAACTGCTGTTTTGTTTAGACTATCTAATTCAGAATGAGATTCCCTCGAGGGGTAACCAGAATAGTTACTTCTATATGTAGCTATGTAGTTTTTATTTTCTGATTCATAATTGGAACCATAATTTATATTTGGAAAGTCTACAGAATGCCAAGAACATACAGTATCATTGTTTTGATATTTAAATTTAAAATCACTACAATTGTTATTTTCTGAATCCAGTTGATTCTCTGTTGACAAGTCTGTATGGTTTTCAGATTCAGTACAAGAATGACTAGTAGTGTCTCTATCTTTAAACAGACTTCCTTCAGTTTCTCCATATGTTAATTTTGGAGAAATTTGTTCACAAATAAAAGATGCATAAACAGCACATTCAGGTTTATATTCCTCTTCTTGGAAAATAGAATTGCTATGTACATCTTGTTGTACGATAGAACTTTTGTTCTGTTCATCCTTGTCTGCATCAGATGACAATTTATCTGCTAAGTTAAAAGAAATAAAGTCCTCTACAATAGAAAAAAAGGTACTGGTACTTAATAAACTGGTTGTGACTACCTTTTACCATACTTCCTTACATTTCTTTGTTGCTGGTATACTACCGGTCCCCTAGGATACCATACTACACAAAGTACCCAGTGCTTTGGTTTATATGGGATTCAAATAATGCATTTTGACTCAGTTTATCATATTAGATCATGTCATTGTGCTAAAGTTAAGGTCTCAACTCCGTAAAGCAAAGTTGACAGATAGTTTTTGGCTGCTCTTTTGGGTATGTTTTTATATTATGCTTTCAATCATTTATTGCTTTGGCTTTCCAGACTTTTGGTCTAGAGATCACCAGATGAAGGTTATTCTAGAAACATGTGTTGTTCATATAGACATCATATCATGAATTATAATGAAAGATTATAATAAAATGCTTCGCTGGGGCGCAGCTTGATACGACCGCAGAGGTCAAACCCTGAACAGTTGGGGCAAGTATGGACACAACATTCAAGCTTGATACAGCTCTGAATTTGGATTGTTATTAAATATTTGACACAGCATAGGTTTCTGACACAGAAAGAATGTGGTCTAAGAACTTGAATTTTTTTAAGTTACCTATTATGGTCCAATGTCCAAAATCAAAATACATGGTTAGATTCAGCATATCAAAGAACCCCATATATTCAATTTTTGTTAAAATCAAACAAAGTTTAATTTTGGACCCCAACTTGGACGAACTTGAAAACTGGGCCCATAATCAAAAATCTAAACACATGTTTAGATTCAGCATATCAAAGAACCCCAAGAATTCAATTTTTGCTAAAATCAAACTAAGTTTAATTATGGACCCTTTGGACCTCAATGAAGACCAATTTAAAAAACGGGACCCAAATTAAAAATCTAAAAACACGGTTAGATTTGGCATATCAAAGAACCCCAATAATTCAATTTTCGATGAAATCAAACAAAGTTTAATTTTGGACCCTTTTGACCTCAATATGAACCAATTAGATAACGGGGTCCACAAATAAAAAATCTAAATACATGGTTAGATTCAGCATATCAAAGAACCCCATATATTCAATTTTTGTTGAAATCAAACAAAGTTTAATTTTGGACCCCAATTTGGACCAACTTGAAAACTGGGCCAAAAATCAAAAATCTAAATACATGTTTAGATTCAGCATATCAAAGAACCTCATATATTCAATTTTTGCTAAAATCAAACAAAGTTTAATTTTGGACCCTTTGGACATTAATGTAGACCAATTTGAAAACTGGACCCAAAATTAAAAATCTAAATACACTGTTAGATTCGGCATAACAAATAAATAAATGTGATCAAAGATTTTACAAATCTAATGCGCCATACTGTGCAATTAAAGATTACTTCTTGAAATTTTTCAATATTTGAAATTTGAAAAAAAAATAATATTTGAAGAATAATTCTTTTTAATTTCTGAAATCTGAAATGAGAAAAAATTGGCCCCCCACAATTTCTTTTTATCCCCCCCCTCCTTTTTCCCCCAAAAAAATTCTTTCCCTCAAGATATGGTCATAATCTCAATTCAAATTTCCAATGGAGTTGGCAACCATAATTACCCATTTAAATTTACCATAGTGCTAACTTAATCTATTTTATAATAGAATTAATAAAAATATAGTGTCAAATCTTTCATATGGATTTTTTTGTAAAAAAAAAAGATGAAAACATTTGCAGATATTTTTACTGGTCTTCCTTTATAAATATGCATTTCTTTAAACATAATTTAAAAGCAGTGTAAGGGAAGTAACCAAAACGTATTTGGATTACCTCCCTTACACTGTTTTAGATTATCTTTATTGTTCATTAACCATTACTTTATACATAATTTAAAAGCAGTGTAAGGGAGATAATTTCAATGATGTATTTGATTTATCTCCCTTACACTGCTTTAAATTATGTTTTGTACTAAAGTATTTGTCCATTAACCAGGACAACCTTGTTTTTCCCCCTTTTTTGCCCCTAATTCCTAAACGGTTTGAGCCATAACCCCCCAAAGCAAATCCTAACCATCCCTTTGTGGTATGGAAACTTGTAGTATAATTTCAGAGAGATCCATACACCGTTCCACAGTTATTGTCTGGAAACTAGAAAATGCTCATTTTTGGCCCCTTTTTGGCCCCTAATTCCTTAACTGTTGGTACCATAACCCCCAAAATCAATCCCAACCTTCCTTTTGTGGTATTTAACCTTATGGTCAAATTTAAAAAAGATCCATTAACTTAAACTAAAGTTAGAGTGCGAAAACCAATATGTATTCGGACGACGACGCCGGACGACGACGACGACGACGCCGGACGACGACGCCGGACGACGACGACGACGACGACGCCAACGTCATACCAATATACGACCACAAAATTTTTTTGCGGTCGTATAAAAATAACTCATTTTGTAGCAACAGAAGCAAGTTTATCTAAATATGAAAAAAATACAAAAAACAAACCCACATAATCATTTAATATTATGTCCCCATTCTATTGTAGCATTTATACTTCCAAAGACATGATTTATTAAAAATTTAGTCAGAAACAGATCTATAAAGCAAATATAGAATGTATGTAATAAGCACATGAAGCAGAGAAAATGTAAATTTATACTTTAAATTGCTATTTTTGGAAAACCTGTCTCACCGACATAACAAAATTTTGTTTTAAAATGATATACTATTGATATAAATTTTTCAAAATCTATATGTATGGTACCTCAGTCAAACAGCAAACATTTTGACGCAGGCTCTTAAATTGTGTAGACATATCCATCTACCTGAAGCACACGCAAGAGTCAGACTCATCTCCTCATAATGTCTGCTTATCTGATAATATCAACAAACTGTGATGTACATGTACCTGACATGGCATTTTGCTGCACTCATCTGAGAAAATTGTATGAGTCCTGAGACACACAACAAAATAAAAACTTGCTTCTGAGATTAAAAGCATGTGTAAGGGATGCATCTAAATGAGTTAATGAGTACCCTGGGAGATTGTCATTAAATACTAGTGTATTGAATTGACCAAATAATGATATAAGGATGAGACATAGAAATGCGAAAATGTGATCATGAGGTTGTGACAAGCATTTCCCCTGTCATTCCTGGTTCATGCAGGATCCATATATCATAAAATGTCAAGTTTAAAAATGTCATTTGTTGAAATCAGTCTGGCTCTGTTGAATGAGAATAACTGATTAAAGAAAAATATATCCATAATAAGCAACAAAAGCATATACATTATAGATTCTACCACTGCATCTAGTGTGGTATTCTTATCCTCAATTGTAACATCATTGAATTTGTTCCTGCCATGAGCAACATGATGGGTGCCACATGTAAAGCAGAATATGCTTACCCTTCTGGAGCGTGTTTATGTTCCTTAGTCTATAGTTTATTGTGTATATTATTTGTAATCAGATGTTTGTCTTTTTGTATCTTTTTGGGTTTTTTTTGCCATGATGTGAGTTTTCCTTTGCATTATGATTTTTGACTGTCTGTTTGTTATCTTATGCCATTTTTTTTTTAGCATAATAATCGCTTCAGTTAAATCTGGCAGTGACCACTAAAGAGGATATAACATCGTCATGTGCTGTCTTTATCAACTAGTTTTCATAGCTTATATAAATTTACCTGAATTCTTTTCTTTAACTTCCTGAATGGTCTGTTCCTGTAATGGTTCTGGAATTTGACCCTTTGTAATTTTACTCTTTTTATATTTTGTTCCACTATCATGACTATGCCAGTTGTTGTCATCACTTTTTTTTCTTTTCTCTATACTCTGTCTATCCTTGACACACAGTGATTCATTGTCAATTTCAATTTTTAAATTCTCACTGAAGTCTTGCTTATGTTCATTGGTTAAGCCATACTTAAGTAATCGAGCACTTGGGCATAACTGAAGCGACATCTCCCCTTCCTGAATAGCAATATTCAAAGCTGTTGTCCAATGTGAAGGGATCTTATACAGTGTTTCAAGTGAAGATTTTTCAAACTTTTTTGCAAACCTCAGCATGTCCTTTGTATGTTGCTTAAAGGCCTTATTTCCTTCAAACTTCAGTGTGGAGCAACTGTACACCCAACCTGTTTCATAGCCATCGCCAAAATACTGTACATGGTACATTCTAAATCTACCTGTATAAAATAGAACTCTAACTAGAAGCTTCTATAAGCCTGAATAGCTCATCATGCCAAAATATGCAATCTTAAACATTCTTGGCTTTCAAGTATTCAGTTTTGAGAATTACTTTTGAAGGTAAGTCAGAAAAGCGCTTTGGACGTATGAAATTTATAAAGTGTTGTTTTTATTTTTTCACACCTTGAGCAATAGTGGAAATTATATATACTGAGTACATAGTACAGGTAAAATATATAAGTTTGTGACCAGATTTGATCCAGATTTATCACAAAAGGTAAAGTAACTTAGGGACAATAGCCAAAGTCACTGACAATTGCTGTCAATGATTTTTTCTTGTAGATGATTAGATCTCGTGTTGATGGCTATTTTTTCTGTTTACTGCTTCTCCTTATCTTTTATAGTTTCTAAAGTAATATCCAAACCTAAGGAAATAGGTAGAAATAGTCATTTAAGGACAATAACGTCAATGAGGAGTCAATTGATAATTGTGGTCATGCTGACAGATCTTGTCTTGCTGATCATTTTTGTTGAATATTTTTTTTTCAATATAATATATTTTTTTCTGGATGATAGTCAAAGATGCAAAAATTGGTAGAAAGTCAAGAATACCTCATAAAAGTAACCCATTAGTAATTTTCATCATTTGACTTTTTTGAAGATTGTGTCTTGTTGATCATTTTTTGTTTTTTAAAGTTTCTCTCTATCTTATTAAGTTAAAATAATCTACAAGCCCCAAAAAGGTCATATATCATTATTTTTTTGAGACATAATAACTCTAAAGGAGTTAGTTGACAATTTTGGATGTTTGACTTTATTGTAGATCTTATTAAATATTGCCTTTGTTGCCTACAGGTTAACACTTACTGTAATCATTTTTGTCGAGCCTGCAACTTTTGTCGCATAAAGCTCAACATAGGGATAGTGATCCGGCGGCGGCATTAACTAACTTCTTAAAAGCTTTATATTTTAGAAGGTCGAAGACCTGGATGCTTCATACTTTGCATAAAGATGCCTTAAGTTACAAAGTTTCCGTCTGTCACATGTCCATTGTCCTTGACCTCATTTTCATGGTTCAGTGACTACTTGAAAAAAAAGTTATTATTTTTTGTAATGTTAATTCCTCTCTTATTATGAGTAATAGGATAACTATATTTGGTATGTGTGTACCTTGCAAGGTCCTCATGCCCGTCAGACAGTTTTCACTTGACCTCAACCTCATTTCATGGATCAGTGAACAAGGTTAAGTTTTCGTGGTCAAGTCCATATCTCAGATACGATAAGCAATAGGTCTAGTATATTTGGTGTATGGAAGGATTGTAAGGTGTATGTGTCCAACTGGCAGTTGTCATTTGACCTTGATCTAATTTTCATGGTTCAGTGGTTATAGTTAAGTTTTTGTGTTTTGGTCTGTTTTTCTTATACTGTACGCAATAGGTCTACTATATTTGGTGTATGGAATGATTGTAAGGTGTACATGTCCAACTGGCAAGTGTCATCTGACCTTGACCTCATTTTCATGGTTCAGTGGTCAAAGTTAAGTTTTTGAGTTTTGGTCTTTTTTTCTAATACCATATGCAATAGGTCAAATATATTTGGTGTATGGAAATATTTTATGATGTACATGTCAGTCTCGCAGGCTTTATTTGACCTTGACCTCATATTCACGGTTCATTGCTCAGTGTTAAGTTTTTGTGTTTTGGTCTGCTTTTCTTAAACTAAGCAATAGGTCAAATATATGTTTTGTATAGAAGGATTGTAAGCTGTTTATGTCTGTCTGGCAGGTATCATCTGACCTTGACTTCATTTTGTTGGTTCATTGGTCAATGTTAAGTTTTCATGGTTAAGTTTGTTTCTTAGATACTATAAGCAATAGGTCAACTATATTTAATGCATAGGTTGATTGTAAGGTGTACATGTCTGCCTGGCATGGTTCATCCTATTGCTTATATTTTCTAAGAATCAAATTTAACCAGGAAAACTTAACACTGACCAATGAATCATGAAAATGAGGTCAAGGTCAGATGAACCATGCTAGACAGACATGTACACCTTACAATCAATCTATGCATTAAATATAGTTGTCCTATTGCTTATGTATCTAAGAAACAAACTTAACCATGAAAACTTAACATTGACCAATGGACCATGAATTTGAGGTCAAGGTCAGATGATACCTGCTAGACAGACCTATACACCTTACCATCATTCCATACATAGACCTATTGCTTATAGTTTAGGAAAAACAGACCAAAACACAAAAACTTAACACTGAGCAATGAACCATGAAAATGAGGTCAAGGTCAAATAAAACCTGCCAGACTGACATGTACATCATAAAATATTTCCATACACCAAATACATGTATAGTTAACCTATTGCATATAGTATTAGAGTAGAAGACCAAAACACAAAAACTTAACTTTAACCACTGAACCATGAAAATGAGATCAAGGTCAGATGACACCTGCCAGTTGGACATGTACACCTTACAATCATTCCATACACCAAATATAGTAGACCTATTGCTTATAGTATCTGAGATATGGACTTGACCATGAAAAACTTAACCTTGTTCACTGATCCATGAAATGAGGTTGAGGTCAGATGAAAACTGTCTGACAGGATGAGGACCTTGCAAGGTATGTATGCACATACTAAATATAGTTATCCTATTACTCATAATAAGAGAGGAATTAACACTACAAAAAATAATAACTTTTTTTTTCAGTAGTCACTGAACCATGAAAATGAGGTCAAGGACAATGGACATATGAGAGACAGAAACTTCATAACATAAGGCATCTATATACAAAGTATGAAGCACCTTGTAAATTACAAAGCTTTTAAGTAGTTAGTTAACACCGCTGACGCTGGATCACTATCCCTATGTCGAGCTTTCTGCAACTGAACAGAAAGGAATTGGGTCCTCAAGGTGTCAATGTGGTAGGATAATCTTGAGCTTCCTAGTTAATGGTCTAGGAGTTGATTTACATGGTGTCATTGTGGTACAATAGTGTTAAATAGCAAAGAAAAGTGTGTAGGGTTCAATGGAACCATGTTTCTCGCCTGCTATTGCTACTGTCAGAGTAAAAGTGTAATGTTGACTTCCAAAAAAAACATTTATGAGTAAAATATTTCAAAAATTAAAATATTTATAATTTTTTCTTCAGATGTCTAAAATATGTAATCCCACAGTATATCTAAACGTTAAGTGCAAAAAACTTACATTTGTTCTAAGTATATATTTCAAATAAGGAAAAATGAAAAAAAAAAATAAAAAATTCAAAATTTTGCTCTGCCTTTTCATCATTACAAACTATTGACACAGAGATATGTCTGTCCTGCAATGTAGGTTTTGATGATAAAATGTAAATGTTAAAATTCAAATAACAATACTTTAACAAGCATTAGATATAGATACAGAACAAAGGTAATGAAAAAAACAGGCTGGTAACAATTATACAGCTGGTTGTTACCATCCCGTTTATTTTGTTACTTTTGTTTTGTATAGATCTGACTTGTACGACGTTTTTAATTAGAAAGTAATTAATACATTTTGCATTTAAGACTAACACTGTAACACATGTAGCAACAGAACAAGATCAATGCTTAAGATGGAAGGAACATTTTCAAGAAATTCTTAACCGAAAAGATCCAGATGAACTAGCAATCATTCCTGAAGCACCCATGGACCTAGAAATAGATACAGATCCACCTTCAAAACAAGAAATACAGAAAGCCATTAAAAGCTTGAAAAACAAAAAGGCCCCTGGCATAGACCAACTAAATGCAGAAATTTTTAAGATAGATCCAGTGCTAGCAGCAGAAACTTTACACCCAGTATTCAAAAAAATATGGGAACAAGCTGTTATTCCTAACAGTTGGTCTGAGGGCAACATCATAAAAATACCAAAATCAGGAGACTTAACTAACTGCAACAACCGGAGAGGAATTACCTTACTATCCATTCCAAGTAAGGTCTTCTGCATAATTTTAATATCAAGAATTATAGAAGTTGTGGATAAGAAACTACAACAAGAACAAGCTGGTTTCAGAAAAGGTAGAGGTTGCATAGACCACATATTTGTCCTATGAAACATCTTAGAACAGTGCCATGAGTGGCAGAGAAAACTGCTTGTGAATTTTGTAGACTTTGAAAAAGCCTTTGACAGCTTACACAGGGAAAGTCTTTGGGAAATTTTGAGAAACTATGGAATACCAAGTAAGATAGTGCAACTCATTAAGCAGTTCTATACAAACTTCTCATGTACCATCAACTCTGAAGCTGACACTAGTTTCCTTGTAAAATCAGGAGTAAAGCAAGGATGTGTTATGTCATCTGTGCTTTTTATAATTGCCATTGATTGGGTAATGAGAACGACTCTAGCAGAAAGTAACCCAGGACTGAGATGGACACTATGTACCACACTTGAGGATACAGACTATGCTGATGATTTAGCACTTTAATCACATACAGAAGACTATATGCAGGAGAAGACCAGAGAGCTAGAAAGAAATGCTAAAATGATTGGACTTAAGATCAATGCCAAAAAGACAAAGTTAATGTACCTCAACACAGAGAGACTGCCTGTCATATTTGTAGAAGGGAAACAACTGGATACAGTAGACTCATTTAATTACCTAGGAAGTTGTATAACAACAGAAGGTAGTGCTGAAAGAGATATAAAGGTCAGAATAGGAAAAGCTAGATCAGCATTCATTAGATTAGGCAACATATGGAAAACAACAGCCTTTTCAAGGAAGACCAAGCTTAGATACTATTACAGCTGTGTATTATCTGTACTCCTATATGGCTCAGAGTGCTGGAAAATGACTGAGAAAGACATCAACAGACTCTCCAGCTTCCATAACACCTGTCTGAGGAAGATAATGAAAATATTCAGGCAAAACAAAATCTCCAACAAAGACCTACATGAAATCACAAACACCAAGGACATGGAGACTTTGTTGATGGAGGTGGCTTGGTCATGTTCTACGCAAACAATCTGGTGACATGACCAAGGTAGCCCTTAGATGGACACCAGAAGGAAAAAGAAAAAGAGGAAGACCAAAAACAACACGAAGACGCACTATAGAAAATGAATTAAAGGAAAGAGGATATACCTAGGGTACAGTGGAAAGAAAAGCAAACAACAGAAAAGAGTGGAGGAAACTTGTCCTTGCCCTATGTGCCATAAGGCATAGCAAGGATTAAGTAAGTAAGTAACAGTTGGGGCAAGTATGGACACAACATTCAAGCTTGATACAGCACTGAATTTGGATTGTGATTAAATACTTGACACAGCATAGGTTTCTGACACAGAATGAATGTGGTTTAAGAACTTAAAAAAAATTAATTTACCTATTCAAACCATATCATTATTATTTGCTTTTATATATAAATCAGAAATAACCAATTTAAAATGGAAAATTTTAAAGAAAAAAAAAGGAAAAAAAAATCCCTACCCCAAATTTTTTGAACCCCCTTATGATTCATCACCCCAAACTCAATCCCAGCCTTCCCTTTGTGGTATGGTACCTTGCAGTACAATTTCAGAGAGATCCATACACTTGAACACAAGTTATTGTCTGGAAACTAGAAAAATGCTTGTTTTTAGGCCCCTTTTTGGCCCCCAAATTCCTAAACGTTTAGGGCAATTACCCCCAAACTGATACCCAGCTTTCCCTTTGTGATATGGAACCTTGTAGTTCAATTTCATAAAGATCCATACACTTACACACAAGTTATTGTCATGAAACTAGAAAAATGCTTGTTTTTTGCCCCTTTTTTGCCCCTTATTCCTAAAATTTTGAGGCAATTACCCCCAAAATCAATCCAAGCCTTTCCTTTGTGGTATGGTACCTTGCAGTACAATTTCAGAGAGATCCATACACTTGAACACAAGTTATTGTCATGAAACTAGAAAAATGCTTATTTTTGGCCCCTTATTGGCCCCTTATTCCTAAACATTTTGTGCAATTACCCCCAAACTCAATTCCAGCTTTACCTTTGTGATATGGAACCTTGTAGTACAATTTCAGAAAGATCATACACTTACACACAAGTTATTGTCATGAAACTAGAACAATGCTTGTTTTTTGCCCCTTTTTTGGCCCTTAATTCCTAAAATTTTGAGGCAATTACCCCAAAATCAATCCCAGCATTCCTTTTGTGATATGGAACCTTGTGGTACAATGTCAGAGAGATCCATACACTAACACACAAGTTATGTCTGGAAGTTACAAAAATGCTTATTTTGGGCCCCTTTTTGGCCCCTAATTCCTTAACTGTTGGTACCATAACCCCCAAAATCAATCCCAACCTTCCTTTTGTAGTATTGAACCTTATGGTAAAATTTTATAGAGATCCATTCGCTTAAACTAAAGTTAAGAGTGCGAAAACGAATGTGTCTTCGGACGACGACGACGAAGAAAATTTTTTTGTGGTCATATAAAAAAGTAATACAAGGTTAGAACCCCCAAAATTAAAGACTTTAAAATTGGTTAAAAGATTTGTATTTATTTTCAATTGAAGATTTCTTGCTATTGCGCAATACTGTGCTTTTGTGCAATACTGTACTGTTGCACAATACTTAGTTAATCTGTTATATATATAGAGAATATCATATGGCTTTTTCAATATCACATCCGTATCAACCCGAGACAATAATATAATCCCAAGAGCTCTGCTCGAGGGATTATATTGGTTCAGGGTTGATACGGTGTGTTATATTGAAATGCCATATCATATACACTTTATTATAAACATATACCTCACAATGAGGCTCACATAGAGGTTTTTTTTGTGACATGACGTCATACAGATAAGGAGGTTTGAAATGACGTCATACAGATTATAGGTTTGTTTACTTTTATAAATTTTGACTTGGATGGAGAGTTGTCTCATTGGCACTCATACCACATCTTCTTATATCTATTGACATGACGTCATACAGATAAGGGGTTTGATAAAGCCTTTGCAACAGTGACTGCAATCGATGACGTGACGTCATACAGATTAAAGGTGTGATAAAGCCTTTACAACCGTGCTGATATCGATATCATCACAGGTGGCTGATACAGCATGCTTGCCAATGATTGTATTTCACATACAATTTATCTGTATTTACTACTAAGTATATAATAAAATAATTTACACACCCTGTTTATTATCTGGAAACTAGAAAAAGTGCTTGTTTTTAGTCCCTTTTTTGCCCCTAATTCCTGAACAATTGGGGCAATTACCCCCAAACTCAATCCCAGCCTTCCCTTTGTGATACGGAACCTTGTAGTACAATTTCAGAGAGATCCATACACTTATACACAAGTTATTGTCCGGAAACTACAAAAATGCTAGTTTTTTGCCCCTAATTCCTAAAATGTTGATACCATAACCCCCAATCCCAACCTTCCTTTTGTGATATTGAACCTTATGGTAAAATTTCATAGAGATCCATTCACTTAAACTAAAGTTATTGTCCGGAAACCAAATGTGTCTTCGAACGACAACGCCGATGACGACAACATGATAGCATTATACGAACGCACAATTTTTTGCGATTGTATAAAAATTATTTTTAAAGGGCAATAACTCCTTTTAGATTCATCTGAAAATTTCAGGGCTGATAGAACTTGACCTAATGAACATTTTTTCCCCATGTCAGATCTGATTTGCTCTCAATGCTTTAGTTTTTGAGATATAAGCCAAAAACTGCATTTTACCCCTATGTTCTATTTTAAGCCATGGGGGCAATATTTTTTTGACAAAACAGAAAATAAAACACAAACTTTATTCTAGATACCCTAAGGATCATTCAGCTTGGAATTGGTTCTGTAGTTTCAGAGGAGAAGATCTTTGAAATAGTTTACACCGGACGGACGACAAGGGACGCCAAGTGATGGCAAAAGCTCACATTTCCTTTTAGGAAAGGTGAGCCAATAAAGATAGTGATGTTCCTTCTAATCAGGCTGGTTTACATGTATTTATTCATCACATCACTCCCATACACCATCTAAGTCCCTATTCACTGGAAACACAGGTACACATCTATTTTGAAGTCATCAGTTAAGAGGTTGAGCTTATTTCCCCAGTCTGATTAAAATACAGATCATGTATGCATGTTTTGTTTACAAAGATCTGAAAAAGCTACATTTTACTTCCTGTTTTCCTGTTTAAACAACTTTTCTGGGTCCTCAGGTTTTGTCGTAATGATATACCCCTTTAAAAAATTTGGAGACAGACATTTCATTGGTTGATATAAAATATTATAAGTTATCAGAACAGAAAGTAGGATGGAATATTGTCAGAGCTTGGACTCATATAATATGGAATAAAATGCTTTGCACAGCCTGATACAACCGCAGAGGTTGAACCCTGAACAGATCGGGCAAGTTTGGACACAATATTCTAGCTTGATACTGTCTGAATTTAGATTGTGATCAAATTTTTGACATGATATAGGTTTCTGACACAAAATAAATGAGGTCAAAGATCTTAAAATTCTATTGCGCAATACTGCTCAATTGAAGATTTCTTCTTGAAACTTTTCAAAAATTTTGAAGAAAAAAATGTGAACCCCCAAAAAATTGGAGAAAATAAATGTGGATAGTGTCCACATGTGGACACAGATGATGCCCCCGTTTGCATATCATATAGTTATAAAGGGACATAACTGAAGAACGGTTAAAGTGATGCTACCCAAATTTGAACTTGATCAGAGTTTTGTGGTAATAAGCATTGTGTGTAAGTCTCATAACATTTGGTTGAGGCTAACTTAAGTAGAGAACAGAAACTAAAAATTCAGCAATTTTTCTATTTGTAAACATGCATAACTCTAGAACGGTTGTGTATAAGTTTTATAACATTTGGTTGAGACAAACTAAAAAAATTCAGCAATTTTTATGTTTATAAAAGGACATAACTCAAGAATGGTAAAAGTGTCGCCAACCAAATTTCGTACTTAATCTGTATTATGTAGTAATAAGCATTGTGTATAAGTTTCATAACATTTGGTTGAGGCAAACTTAAGTTAGAAAACAGAAACAAAAAATTTGTACTTGATCTTAGTTTTGTGGTAAAAAATATTGTGTATAGGTTTCATAATGTTTGGTTAAGGGAAAACTTAAGTTACAGAATGGAAACTAAAAATTTTGCAATCTTTCGATTTATAAAGGGGTATAACTCAATAATGGTTAAAGTGACACTACCCAAATTCAACTCCCAAATTCAACTTGATCTGTGTTTTATCAGTGGAAGTCAAAATTAAACATTGCAGTGTATAAAGCATTGATTGTAGTTGATTCAACTATAATCATGGACAAAGGAAGATAACTCCAATTTTAATAAAAATTACTTGATATTTAGAAGAAAATAAAAATTTTGCAATTTTGGGACGTACGTACAGACGGACAAGGGTAAAACTTAATGCCCCCTCCGCTACGGCAGGGGCATAAAAATCCACCCCCATCTTTTTGACCCCCCCTCCCCCCTTGGAGTAATTACCCCCAAACTCAATCCCAGCCTTCCCATTGTAGTATGGAACCTTGTAATACAATTTTAGAGAGATCCATACACTTAAACACAAGTTATTGTCTGGAAACTACAAAAATGCTTGTTTTTGGCCCCTTTTTGGCCCCTAATTCCTGCATATATTGGACAATTGCCCCATACTCAATCCCAGCCTTCCCTTTGTGATATGGAACCTTGTGGTACAATTTCAGAGAGATCCATACAGTACACACAGTTATTGTCTGGAAACTACAAAAGTGCATGTTTTTGGCCTTTTTTTTTGCCCCTAATTCCTGTACTGTTGGTACCATAACCCCCAAAATCAATCCCAACCTTCCTTTTGTGGTATTGGACCTTCTTGTAAAATTTCATAGAGATCCATTCACTTTAATTAAAGTTATTGTCTGGAAACCAAATTTGTCTTCGGACAAAAACGACGACGCCGACTACAACATCATAGCATTATATGAACCAAAAAAAATTTTTGCGGTAGTAGAAAAATGAAAACAAAAATCACAAAGTGATTCTTCTAATCAGGCTGTTTTTCAAAACCCAAATCTCAAAATCTAACAGCTCTCAAATAGCACTCTTATTTTAATATTTAAGAGTCCATATAAATATCACATATCACCTGCATGTATTTGTATTTGCATCATGCTGTTGATGGCTTTTTAAATACAAAATTTCAAATTTTACATGTTTTTGCAACATTCTGCTATGATTGTACCAAAATTAGTTAATTTGAATCAAGAAAACATTATAACAGAGCTTTGGTTTTGGGTAAGATTGTCCTTCTTGTGCATGTTATACATTTTATAGATTAATCCTTAAAATCTACAAGAAAATTGTCCAAATTGTGGTTTCGGAGCTACACATATCTTCAATTAATTTGGTTACATTCATCATCATTGTTTTTAGAACTAATCCCTTATATTGTTACAAGTTCAGAGGTGTGGTTAGGAACCCAGGAAAAGATCTACATAACATTTTCTATCAGACAACAGTATTTAATTTTTTTTTATTTGTCTTAAATATTGTCATTAGGACTTCAAACTTCTAACAATTAGTGCAAAACAGCCAAAACTACCAAAAAAGCCTCATTTTGAGATTAAATTGTCATAATACTCATTAATATCAAGATACAAGCAACAGCACTAGCTTTAGCCAAAAAGATATTTTGTAACTAAAATATTTTCTTTAGTGAAGCAGTTGCTCATGTATATTTTGGCCAAAAACTATGTGTGAAATGGCCATTAAGAATCTAATACATAAAAAAGCTATTTTTGTAAAATTGTTCTGTTATAAATAAGGCTGTTAGTTTTCTCAATTGAATTATTTCACATTTTTCAAATCAGGGCCTTTTATAGCCAACTATAAGGTATGGGTTTTTCTCATTGTTGAAGGCTGTATGGTTGCCTATAATTGCTTACATCCACTTCATTTCAACTTTGGTGGATAGTTGTCTCATTGGTAATCACACCACATCTCCTAATTTTTATATTGAACAAGTTTACTATTTTTGCAATTTAAGGGGCCAAATAATGGCTCTTATATCATATCTCCTCCTTTCTGATTACAATTATGCATGATGTGATGTATGGACCTATCAAAGAAGGAAACTTCTATATAATTGCCACATTTACCACATTTGTTCTAACATATTGCTTTGGTAGTCATTTTTACACAGATTTAAATGTACTTGCCATAGATCTTGGTGTAGTCATTGCTTTGTTCCTCCTTTGTAACCATACATGGCCACCAGGGGTATCCAGAAAATTTGGCCCAAATACAGTCACCAACTGACCATTTAATAGGTATGATTTTCTCCATAGAAGATGGAGAATGTCTTGTTGTAGTTCGTTTTCTTTCCATATCATACTTGAAGCTCTGTGAACAGCTACCTGTTTATTTGATTTGCTTAAAACTTATTTTTGATAGTACAGTAGTATGCATGTCACCTCTACAACTTTGTTTTTTTTTGTTTTCCACTCCTTTCTTCTGTGTAATTCACTAAGCTGAAATAAAATCAATTAATAAGTTAATTTATTTTTTTTTCTTTCTGAAATCAAAATGTTAATTTATAACAGTAGTTTGCACTTGCATGTAGTGCTGCAACCTGAGAATAATAACAGAAAATTCATTTTAATGGTACCCAAACTATAACTTTAGTAGCTCAACTGTCAATATTGCTACCATAAGGCATAGAATTTCAGGTATGATATTGAACTTTGATCTATGATTTTGATATTACAGAGAGAAAATGATTGCATAATAATTACAAAGCCACAATCTGTATGTGCCTGTCCCAAGTCAGGAGCCTGTAATTCAGTGTTTGTGGTTTGTTGCTGTACATTTGTATATCATATTTGTTTTTAGTTCATTGTTTTGTTCATAAATCTGGCCATTAGTTTGCTTGCTTGAATTATTTCACAATTGTCATTTCAGTGCCTTTTATAGCATACTATGCAGTATGGGTTTTGCTTATTGATGAAGGCCGTACAGTGACCTACAGTTGACTTGAAATGAGACTTCCAAATGCCAATACATTTGAATACCAAATATTAATGACTTAACAATTGTGGTTCATCTTTAACTGATCTAATCACAAACTAATAACATGTAAACTAAGCAAAAGTGTCAAAGTCAATAGACCATGACTGAGGGGTAAGGACCAGCTATTCTCCAAGGAAATGAGATGTACTAATGCTTACACAACTGCATACCAATTATCATTGGCATACCACTAATAGTTCCCCTTAAACTGACCTAATCACAAACTAATACATGGAAACTATGCAAAGTCAATAGACCATGACTGAGGGGGCGGGGCCAAATAATCTCCATGGAAATGAGATGCCAATGCTAATACAACTGCATACCAATTATATCATTGACCTACCACTAGTAGTTCACCATAAACAAGACCTAATCACAAAGTAATACATTGTTGCCGCCATCGCTGCCGCCAGAAACTGCATACCTATGTTTGCTTT